GTTTTATTGTTTTTAATTATTTTTTAATTTTTTTTGCTTTCTGTGAAGCACTTTGTGATGTTTGTGTCTGTGAAAGGTGCTATAGAAATAAAGTTTACTTACTTACTTACTTAAATTTGTTCATGTCATCCATTTTAAAGGAAACAAAACCAGTTCAAAGTAAACTTGTGGAAATATAAATGTTACTTTACTTTATACTTAATGACATGTACCTGGGTACTTCTTTTTGGTGCGGACATGCTGAGAAGTTCCTCCTTGTTGTTTTCACTTCTACTTCAGAGAGAGACGTTAGAGCCATGTTCTGAAACCAAATCCAAAACAAATCTAGGAGAATGTAAGCTCCTCAGCCTGTAGAGTACTGCTCTGCAGCAACAAATGCATCTTCAGTCAGGCTCCAAGGTATCATATTACTATTGTAATTTAAAAAAATGTTCATATCACATTTATATAAAAATAGAAAATGACAGATGACTACCCAGATAAAACAAGACCTTATTTCCCAAAACACAGATTTGAGGCAAAACCACAACATTTAGAGAATGTTAAATGTATGTTTCAATTAAGCAGGACACACTTTCTTTATTTTTTCAATGCTTGTGCTTTATTATTGCAATACAAAGCTTAAAGTTAGAAAGAGACAGGAGCTTGAAGGGTCCATTAAAAAAAGTGACTCAGATACAAATTTAGGTTTATATTTTGTAATTTATCTAATTTTATAAATGCATTTTTTATTATTAAAAATCAAGATGAGTACATTTGCAATGTATAGAAATGAAAGAAATTAAAATATTTGCTTTTTATTTAGAAGCTTAGCTGGTTATGTCAAATCATGGTTTCATTTTTTTGGAATGTTTTACCGGTCAGGGACAAGGTTTGCTGTTGGGTAAAGGTTCACAGCGATCTACTTCAACATTAAGCTCTCCAGACTTGACACCATGATACGTTCCAGAGATGGTGGTCCAGCTGATCTTCCCAGTGCTGTAGGTGCGGGTAAGGCGGGCGGTAAAAGGGACTTTTGCCTTGAACTTAGAACCAACTAGTTTTAATGTGCAGCTGTGGTTTGGTGGGACAGTGAGACTAAAAGACACAGTGTGGTAATTCTCTTCTGTCACAGAACTGCCCTTTGTGTGCTGAAATGTCTTTGAAGTGAGTTCAGTTGAGAAGTCTAATAAATTAGGAGCTCCTACCATCATGGTTACCTTTGCATTTAACAAGTGGTCAAAGTTGACGTCCCACATACTTGTGTCACTCGTTTTTGCGCTAAGAACAATTGTTTTTGACACTGACTGGCAGTTAGCATTACTGGTGGTTGACGTTTTCAAGACCTCTGGAGGATTCTTGAACTTTCTAGCCTCAATAGTGTTATACTTGACATCAGAGATAACTTCATCTGAAGCATCCATGTTGATGGTCAAGACCTCATAAGTCCACATGTACCAATATTCTTTACCCTCCCAGGGAAGATAAAAGCAGTCGTGACTTGGATGCACTTTTCCCAGACCATACTTGTTCTTGCCTACAAATAGTGATTCAGTGGAGCTGCAAGTATAGAGTGAATGTGCTGGCACAGAACCATGGGAACCCTCCTTCCACTCCAGCTTCTCAAAACCATTTTCATTCACAAGAATCTCAAATGAGGAAGCAGTACGCTCCTCACCAGCAAAAGGGTAGTGACAGTAAGGACCCTTGCTGGAGGTGTAAAAACCAGACTGACAAGCATATGTGCAGACGTAGTCGATGCGCTTGGTGTAATCATTGTAAATTGAAACAGCTCCATCTGGCAGATGACCATTCCATTTATGCCATTTCAGTGCAGGCCTGTACACGTTAGCATGTCTTTTGTTTCTGGATTCAGCAGGAGGCAGAATACGATGGGCTGTTGCGATTGTTTCGTTAGATATAACAGCAAATCCATCCTTCAGATCTGGGGTCAGAGGCGGGACTGTGTGGGGAAAAGAATGCAAATAAGTCTTTTAGGTACAAGATAACGTTTACATATTCACTTAAATTATACAGATTGTGGTATTAAATAAAAAAATTATGATTCCGTTTGGGTTGTCATTTTTGTTAGGAAAATACTCAAAGCTAGACATGCTGTGATAAGCAAAATATCAATTAATCATATGAAAAATTCAAATGAGGCTGAGAATTTTTATTTGTATTCTTGTTTTTCTTCATGTCTCCCTTTTTATACTTCTTACTGCAGGGATGAGTGGACTCTGGTGTCAGGTGTTTGTAAGGTACATAGTCTTGAAGCTAGGGATGCACCAATAAATTATCTGGCCGATTTATCAGCACAGATTTCCTTAATTTTGGGAAATTGGACGATACTTGGATAAGATCGATCGAAATGATTGGCTTCTCATCTACGGACCATAAAGCTCTGAAAATCAGCCTTTTGCTCTCCCTTATTATCGTTTATCACAATTTCTGAAATGATTTATTGTCCAGCAAAATTTGTGTCAAAAACTTTTAGTTTGTTGTCATTTTAAATTAAAATTTAAACAGGAAGTCAAATCAAACACCTGACCTACAGCCTTATAATCATTTATCATCGAATAGATTCAAAGGTTAAAACTTTCTTAGGCACAAATCAAGACACTTATTGATATTTAATGTTTCTTCTTTACCATTTCCTTCTGAGTGGTTCTTCATGGCTTCATTCAGACTGGCTGAGGACAAAACCAGCAACAACAACAACAGGAACTGCTAGAAATAACACAAAATAAAAATCGTTATTAGTTACAGACTGCCTAAAATACTACTTTGTAAATGGATAGAATGCATACTACTTGAAGAACAAAAAATTGAAGATAAAAAGGAAAACAAGTGTTAAACACTTTAATGTTGACATGAAGCCCAGGAGAGAAGCTCAACTGGAGAAATGAGATGTTTAATTCTACCTCTTATCAGAAGTTTTAATGGTGTGCCTAAGAATATATTTGTACACCTCTGACAATGCATGAAGCTTCTGTGTGCCAGCTGCAGAACAGAGCCGGATCGGCTTCAACACCTAACAAGGAAATGGATGAAGCTCCTACTTTTAAAACATTCTGGCCCTGGATCATAGAAAGCCCCCAAGACCAGACATGATAGAGTCCTACTGCTGCTGATTTTGTAGCACAGCCTCTTACAATTCTTTTTAATCTTTTGATCCAAAATAAAGAGGTTCCTTAATTCTGGAAGTCAGCGTTTGTTACTCCCTCATTAAAAGGAGGTGACCCAGCTGTTTTAACAAACTACAGGCCAATATCAAATTTGTGYGTTTTGTCAAAGATGCTTGAATCTCTTGTTTGCGATCAACTAAAAATAGTTTTTATATTCGAATGAACTTCTCTCACAACTGCAATCAGGCTTCAGAAAAAAGCACAGCACCATCACTGCAGCCACAAAAGTGATAAATGATATAATTGTTGCTCTTGATCAAAAGCAGTACTGTGCATCTCTTTTTATTGATCTGTCAAAAGCTTTTGACACTGTGGACCATGCTGTCTTAAAGTACAGACTGTTGTTTGAGAATATCAGATCATGTGGTTTTCTGGTTGTCAAATTATTTGAGTAACAGGACTGAGTGTATTAAATATGATGGTTTGTGTTCTGATTTTATGAGTGTACACAAGGGGGTGCCACAGGGTTCAATCTTGGGTCCCCTCCTGTTCATTATGTACATTAATGAATTAGGACAAAATTATTTACTGTTTTGGATCGACTGTTGCTAAAGCTGTAGAATCTCTGCAGAGAGCGTTTGATGTTGTCCAGCACACACTCCTGCAGCTAAAGTTGGTACTCAATGCTGATAAGACTAAACTAACGCTATTTGCCAACAACAAAAAGGTGCCTCTGATGATCCCCACTGTGTCCACATTTGAAGGAAATTTTATAGAGATGGTTCACACATACAAATATCTTGGGTTCTTGATTGACGACTCCCTCAGTTTTAAGCCCCACATCCAAAATCTTGTGAAGAAACTTAAACTTAAACTGGGCTTCTTTTTTCGAAATAAAATTAATTTTTCTTTTACGGTTAAAAAGCGGCTTGTCACAGCAACATTTTTATCCATTTTAGATTATGGAGACTTGTTGTATATGAATGCCTCAGCACATCTTTAAAAAATTGATGCTGTCTATCATGCTTGCTTAAGGTTTGTTACTAACTGTAAAGCCTCGACTCATCATTGTCATCTGTACACTCGAGTGGGATGGCCTTCTTTGTCCACCAGGAGGCTGGGCTATTGGTACACTTATTTATAAGGCTTTGCTTGGGCTGCTACATCTTACATTTGTGATCTAATCACATGAAAAAGCATCGATTCACACTCCTTGCATTTAAATGATTATTTCTTGCTCTCTGTCCCATTTCTCCGTACAGAATTGAGGAAAAGGCCTTTGTTTACTCTGGACCATCTACATGGAACATGTTACAAAAAGTCAGGAAGTTAACTGAACTGATACCACTGAGCAGCTTTAAGTCCAGATTGAGGGCATTAGAGATTACTTCCTTAAATTGTGAATGTTTTTAATAGTGATTGTTTGTTATTGTTTTTTAATTGGGTAATATGTAAATGTATACTTTTTGCTGCCTCGTGGCCAGGACTCCCTTGAAAAAGAGGTTTTTAATCTCAATGGGACTTTCCTGGTTAAATAAAGGAAATAAAAATAAATAAAATAATTCTTAGTCAACTCTGATACGATAGTGTGTAGAATGTCTAAATCAGGCAACCCTTTATAAAGAGTGCAGTACCCAGGAGCTGGTGATTTTCATCAACTGGCCAGAGAACTCATGGGTCAGGCTGAAATCTGCAATAAAGTCTAAACTGTTCAACTAACTTCAAAGCCTGTCAGAGTCATTATTTCCTCATCACAGCTGCAACTGAAGACCCCCAGAGAAGAACACATTTTTCACTAAATAGCACCATTTTGGATCAAATGAAGATTTTTCAAGGAGGATTTTTTTGGATGTAGATAATGAAAAGTTATCTGCCTGGAAGTGATGGATGCATAGACCAGATTTTTTAGAGTCCTCCCAGCCTACAAGGCCCGACAGGACTCCTCCTTCAGTAGAACAGCCTCCCTGACCTGGGGTGTGGTTAAATCTGATGTGGTTAAAGTCTCTCCATGTGTTTATAATCCCCCCCCCACCCCCCCTGTCCTTTTATATTCTGTGTCCTGTCATTAGTTTTCACTGGTCCACTGTGATTCTTGTGTTTTAAAGTGATTATTTTGTAAGTCCCTGTTCTGCCTCATCAGATTGTGTCTTTTAAAATGGATCAGTTATCTGTATCACTTCTGACATTCTTCTGTTTAAAATATTCTTTTTTTACACATGTTTCATTATTATTATTATTGTTATTACTATTATTATTATTGTTGTTGTTGTTGTTGTTGTTATTACTTGTAATGTTTCACTTAAAAAAAACATTTTTTAATGTTTAGGAGCTTCTCCCTCTTCAGTAAATCTTATCTAAAGAAAATTATAATTTTCTTACCATTTTTCTGCCCGGGGATTTTCTCCTGTCCTGGAGCCTGAAGACCAACTGCAACTGAAATTAAAACAATAAAATTGTTATTTTTCCAGCTGGTGAAACAGCCTTGTTTTTAGAAATGAAGAATAAATATAAAAACATTTTTACCTGAATTAGATGAGCGAAGATCTTTTTATTGGATAAAAAAGAAGAATTGAAGATGGAAATTGTTCGTTTCAGTGTAGTGAAAGAAATCTTTGCTAAGATTTGTTTCAGGGAGGAGAAATGCCTCTGAATGATTTTCTCCTCATCTTTTCTGTCTTTTATTCCTCATGAGCAGAGGGAGGACCTTTCTGAAGAATCCATCTGCAGCAAACATCTTTCAGTTTCTTTTATCATTTTTCAAAGCATGTGTTTTCCCCAAATGATTTTCTGAACTTTTTTAGCATTTTACACAATATATACACATTATATACAAGTCATGTATTAATCTACTGGGAAACTGAAAAAAAAAAACAGTTTACTGATCTTTAAGTTTTTAGATGGAACATTAAAACATTTTGCTGAACCCATCCTTAGTTTTAACAATGATTAGATGCCTCTCAGCAAGAAGGTCACTGGTTCAAATCCCGGTCCGGGGACCTTTCTGGGTAGAGTTTGCATGTTCTCTCCGTGCGTGCGTGGGTTCTCTCCAGGTACTCCGGCTTCCTCCCACAGACCAACAGCATGACTGTTAGGTTAATTGATAACTCTAAATTGTCCCCAGGTGTGAGTGACTTGTGTGCGAGTGGACTTGCGACCTGTCCAGGGTGTGCCCCGCCCCTCACACTGTGACTGCTGGATATGGGCACCAGTGACCCACGCAACCCTGAAAAGGAAGAAGTGTTTACAGAAAATGGATGGATGGATGGATATTCTCAGATCCTCCTGTTTGTTCTGTTAGTTCTGTGTAAGTTGTCCTGTACCCTGGTTTATTCATCACCCTGGTCCATGCTTTTATGTTATCCTAAACAGTCTCAGAGTCTGCAGTCTTGGTTCTTAACACTTGTCCTGACAAACAATCTGCCTAGAAGGATTCAGACGTTACTTGTGGCGGTGAGGACATACCTGTACCTGTTCTCTCAGCTCTGTGCATAAGGTTGAGGCTAACTCAAAACTTTCTGGGTTCATTGCCTAACATCAAAACGCAGTTTTATTCAAGGATTATTAGGGTTTTTAGTGGAAGATTAAAACAAAGGCTGAGAAACCAATCATAAGCCTGATTATCAACAATTATCTTGTTGTTTTCACTTCTCTTGCAAAGTCAAGCTCTCTTACACTTTTACGTGAAGATCAGCTTCACCCTTAAATGCGTAAGTCTTTTTAGACGCAGTGAGGTCATTTTTTTATAATGAAAAGTTTTCATCATTTCATATTCCTCAAAAACATGTTATTGATGTCGTGCAATTAAATTTTTTAACTGACCTTTTTTACATTTTAAGAAATAGCCTTTTATTTCAATCACTGATGCATGCTTTCATATGTGGGTCAAAAATGACCCGCACTTCTTTCCTACCACTATATCTATATATATC